AAAAAGATACATTTAACACCGTAAAAAAGTAGATGAAACAGCTTATAACTAATGTTTCGGAAGCAAATCTTTAATGTGTTAATCCTTCTCTTTTTACTTCGACGAAGAATTAACGTCCGACGAGTAAGTTATTTCACCTACTTTTTTCTTACACAACTGTTTCATTAGAAACACCGACACAGCTCACACTAGCTTACCACTAGTTTCCACATTTTTAACTCGAAGATTGCGAAGCAATCGAAGAGTTATAGGAGGGAGATAGATGATGGTGTGTGAGGTGAGGTGGACTAGTTAATAGGTCACTTATTTTTTCTGTAAACATACGGGCATTTAGAAGCCAGTCCGTAACCAAGACGGCCAGGTGTTTTCATACAGAAGTGGCTTTTTAAACACACAAAATGTGATTTTTGAGGTCTGGACGTTCTTGTATAAGCTTCTTACCAATTAATCTGTTGATTTCAGAAGTCGTTTTAGGAGATATAGAGTCAATATGGCTCATAGATACGATGATTTCAAGGATTATTCCGATCCTTTCTCGATCGGTATTTGATGCTCATCGATTCATATAAACTTTAATATCCTTCGTAAAAAATCGATGCACGGACGAAACTACAACAAGAAATCAAAATATAAATTTTAAACGGTCAGCATTCAAAGTGAAAGTATCATCACTTCAAACTAAGAATGGTGGTGTTGATAATTGAGGTCAAAAATGCTCAAAACCCAAAACTCGTTTACGCTCGTGGTTCCACTTGAGTTTTGAGCATTTTTGACGTCAATTGTCAATAAGAGTACAGACAATGGAAAACCGCCTGCGAATTGTTAAGTCGATATTTAAATTATCAAATTCAAAAAAATTTCAAGTTCAATATTTTCATTTTATAGATTTTTTGTCGAAATTAGACCATATCTGAACAAATTCTGAGGCTTCATACAGATTTATGTACACGGTATACTTGTCTAACAATCTTCGAGTTGTGTCGCCATTGGCGGCTTGATCAGAAAACGTTTAAGTTAGTTGGTTTAAGGTCATATCATATCTGATTCTTCAGTCCATAGCTGTGCTATCTCATCGCGGAGACAATTATTATTCACAGATACGGACTTGTTAACTTTCAAGATTGCACAGCCAATTAATGCGATTCATTCAAATATAAGTTAGCAGAGAAGTGGTGCAAACGTATTCATACAATAATTCCCTTTTTCCTACTAGAATATATCTGAGAGAGTTTAGAAGAAAATATTTGAAAAAAGCTGTATACTTTATGATATTAAGCGCCCAAAAAAACTGAGTTTTCGGAAGCTAGATCGCAAATCTGTGTCGTTCAATGTATAGCTTAACCTTTTAGTTTTTTTTTTTTTAATTTGATATTTTAGGGAGCAAACCCAAAAATTGTACTCCAATTGTTTTCCAATCATTAAATACCGTCTTATGAGTGCTTAGCACGAAACTCGGAGTAACAGCAAAATCTTGCCTCTTTGATAATACATATAACTAACTCTACACTATAGGTGTATTGAGCACTCTTTAATGGGATCAGCTACTTCCTCACACGATTTTGTTTTCCAAATCATATATATGTTTATCAAATCATATAATACTTAAAATTATCGAAAATGTTTTCAAAAAAGTGTTCAAATTTGTAGCAATAAAAAAATGATTCATTCAAGTCTTATAAGGGCAATTTYAATTTATATACATAATATATTTTCTATTTTTGTACGGATACTTCATATCATACTGCTCAATATTATTTCGAGTATTCATGTCAATTGCCTTGTTTAGTGGAGCAAGTCTTTCTTCTATGTATTTATTCATTTATACATTTTATTTTTATTTTTGTTTATCTTCGATGCTTTTGAAGTTTTGGTTTTTCTCTTTCTCTTGTTTGTTTGTTTTGTGTTTGCTTGACTATTGAGCAGGTGCGAGTCTTTTTATCTCCCGCTGATAAACCCAAGCCACTACATCCTTTTTTGATTGCACAATCTTCAAAGAAATTAGATTTTCGTTTGCTAGGACACTGTAACATGAAATTATCAAAACAAATATTACCTGTCATTTTCACAGATCAGGGCAAAAACAGAATTGACCAAAGCTTTGTTAAAAGAGATGAAAAGAGTTTCATACATGCAAATATAAGCGATATTGGTACAAGATCGTTGGCCCTTGACAATAAGATGTAGTAAGTGGCAAACGGAGATTRCTTGTTCATCAAAGAGACGTTTGATTATCCTTTAGATTAATTTTGTTAAACGTGCAGAGTTGACATATAACGGACCAGCTATATATACTTTTGTTTTGAAATTTTGAAAAAAACTTTTCAGTATAATCTCGCTTTACCATAAATGAAAATAAACACAAAAGCTATGTCTAAAGCCTTTTAAAAGCAGGCACTGAAGAGGACTTCCGAAGTTATCTTAACAATATTGAATAGAAATGCGTCACTGCTTAGCTTGAGACAAAACCGAGCAATAAGAAGGGACTAAGCACTTTGCAAAGGCTAATGGCGGTGCTCTTGGCACACTTTTGAACGAAAAAAAAGGTTTAATTACCCGGTTTTTTGTTTACCTGCCTTAAAAAGATCATCTCCTTAAAAGCCTTCATAGACGATGTGAGAACTCAGAGCATCTTTCCGACGTATGAGATAAGTGCTGCGAATTTACAGGCTCTTTTTGGCAAACGTAAAATAATGGCTTGCAATGAGACTATTTCGTACGCTGTCGGTTCACACGGCGGAGCAGCSCATTGGTTTATCGTTGGAACAAGTTTTTGTCTTGGTGTGATGGCAATAACGGGTAACATAATGGTTCTATTCGCTGTCTACAGTTCAAAAAATTTGAAAACCATCTCGAACTATTTTCTGTGTTCTCTAGCCGTTGCCGACCTTTGGGTTGGGTGTTTTCATACACCATTTTACACAATACTRATGGTTCTGGATACTCCAAGCRAGGGAGGTATCCTCAAATTCGATTTCTTCATTTGGTTACATATTCTGTTCACATCTACCCTAAGTCTGTGTGCTATAAGTGTCGATCGATAYTTCGCTGTCAAATGGCCGCTGAAATACATAAGACTCGTCACAATCAAGCCGTGCATAGTAATCATCACAGTGATTTGGACAATTGCTACATTTTTCGCCTTTCCTGCCGTATTTATCAGCAATTTGAGGACATGGAGTGGCTACATTGCATTTTGTGCGCTATTAACCATGTCTGTACCGTTATTAACCGTTACCWCGTGCTATATTGAAATTGTGAAGATTTCCCGAAGCAAATCGACAAGAGTTGAAAACATCAACAAAATCAACATTCAGCAGAGAAAGAACCACCTAAAGAACAAGAAAGCTGTAACAACATTTGCTATTATTACTATAGTTTTCCTCGTCGCGTTTACTCCAAACTTTGTGTTCGCCCTGTGGTTTTTCTTTACTGAAACTTGTAAAGAAGAATACGATGTCTTTAGGCGATGGACTGTGTCGTTATTTGTCATGTTTTCGAGTTCTTCTGCAAATCCTATGATTTATGGCTTCAGAAATAAAGAATTCAAGACAGCGTTTAAAAAGATGATTTTAAATYCATTTAAATCTTGTGAAGTTCAAGAGCAACGCRTTGCAAATAATGAAAGAGTTGATGAACGGAATGCTGATGAGGCACTTTCATTGGCCTAGTTATATCCCATTTTTCAGCATTATTTCTGCAGTAATTCCCAATGTCTAATAAAGATAAATGTGTTTTTTTTACTTTCCTGAATGAATGGCTAATGGTAGAAACAAACAACAAAAACAAATCCTTAATATCTTCTGTAGACACATGGGGGCTTCTACTATACATTTCATCCGTGCYGCACGACCAACCAATCATTAGACACAGATAAACATGGAAAAACTTTGAAAAAACATCACGAAAATTATTCAAAGAAAGAGCGGTTAATTGAACACGACACTTGAAAATAATGGCTGCTGTAGAAGAAAAGGAGGTTGCTAATTATACGGAATAATAAACACGAAACAAAATGAAATTTTTATGATATTGTATATAGTTGTTAAAGTACCAACAAGAAAAATGTGAACAATCTGTAGATATATATTGACCAATACATTCTCCTTCTAAAAATGCCCGTTTTATATTAGAGCTTTCCGTGAGTACAATATTTCATATTCATTATATCTAGAATTTTAATCGTGGTCCTACGTATGGTTCCAAGTAACTCATTTAATTGTTCTTATTATGATGCTTATTTTGACTAATCTAATCGCTCAAGACGATTTTGATTAGACTTTTTTTCAACGTTAACTAAACGGTATTTATAAATTATTCTCGTGTCTTTCAATGTGTCAATGTTTTATATTGTACAATGCATTTTAAAATCGATTTTTTAATATTTGAATATGTTTGATATTAGCTCAGGATTCTTGATCATATGTCGCAATACAATATGACTTATTTTGAATGAAATCCTGTGTTAATTTCACTAATGCGCAGAATCAAACAAACCGGCGCTCTGCAATTCTAAATAAATGGTAAACCACCTGCAATGAAACAATA